AAGAGACAGAGGCAGGTCTAGATGGTAACTCCAAGAAAGAGGTAGACCACGGACGAAGACAGCGGACCCGGACGCCACGGATGCCCTACATCGCGGATAGGGGTGAGGGATCCGACCGACTGTAACGGGGTCGCTCTGAAACAACTAACTCCTTCTGCCGACCGCCTGCTATATATAGCCACATCCAATCGTCTGCTCTGACCTTGAATCTGGTTGGCTGCGGTAAGTCTCGGCATGTTCCGACACGCCTCTGCAAGTCTCGACATGTTCTGACACGCCTCTACATGTTTCGTTTGGTCTACCTCCCTCTTTGCTTTATTGTGATATCCATTTTTACAAGGTCGATACATAATTTTATATAGAGATGGGGTTACAACAAATATTAGAAGGTTGTGAACTGTCTCACTCAAAAATATACTACAGAATGTGTCCCCGGTGATGAAGGTTTGGTTGGGGGAATGACATGTAATGAATGATGACCTAAACAAACCTATTATATAAAAAAAGAAATAATTTGCATACAAATTAGTTAAAATTATTAAGAAGTTACAAGTTAAACAGAGAAAGATGTTGTAATTGTGGTGTATCAATGAAATATAAATCAAGGTTATAAAAAATTAAAAGGCACAAAATGAATGATAAAAGATTAAGGGAAAGTATATAATACAAAATGATAAATATGGTAAAATGATTCGTACAAGTAATAATATTTTATTGCATAAAACATGAGCGGAGAAAAAGTTAGTTTATTGGTTGAACATATAATGTGACGCTAAGGTTGAAAAAGGGAAAGCGGGTATCTGAGCATGTTTCTGCAAAGTTGTATCCCAAGCATTCTGCAATGCAATGCGAACTTGTTTAAGTGAGGCATTGTTTTCATTAACAGAAGGCCCACGATATTCCGTCTGCATCATTAGCTCAGACAGTGAAAAGAAGTGGGAAGATTGATGGGGTAAGAGGGAGAGGTAGAGGTAAGAGGGATTCCTGTTGTCCATAATGATTATGCACGTTTGAATGATGACAAAAAAAAGTGAAAGTTTGAAAAAATGGTGAATTGAAATGATGAGTCGGGCGATGAGAAAAAAAAAATAAAAAGATCGCGCTGGATATCCTGAACTCATTATTGGGAATGGTATAACGAGGAAGGATTGTCCAGTCGGATTAATCAATGAAAAAAAATAAAAATGTTTGGCGAACTGGAATCCCTTGGAAGGTTGGAGGTCTGAAGGATGCGGAAAAGGAGAGGTGGGTGCAAGAGCTTTATTGCTGTCAAATTTGATTGTGTCCGGCTTGTATGATGAAAAAAAAAGTTGAAAGATGAAAAAAAATGATGAGCTGGACGATGAGAGAGAAAAAAAATAAAATCTAACTAGGTCTCCTGAGCTCACTGTTGGGAAATGTACAGCAAGGAAGGGTCTTCTAGTTAGGTTAATCAATAAAAAAAAAGAAAATGGCTGACGAACAATAAACTCTTGATGGCTGTAAAAGGTTGGGAGGAAAGGTTCATGGGATAGAGTTAAGAGGTTGTAAGGGAAGCGTCAAAAACAACATTTTCAAAATCTATTAACAAAGATAAAATGATAAATGTTTTATCTCTTAAGAAATATTAAAAATATTGTTAGGTGTAGGTTTTTTTAAAATGGTGCCTAAAAATAGTTGAAGTTGTAAAATTCTAGGTCTAAACATGATGAGAAAAAAAAAGAGAAAAAAAAATTAAAGGTAATAATATATAAAGGGTGATTGGTAGTTGAAGACATTAAAAACAAAATGATATCGATTAATAGTGAAATGTTTTATCCACATCGGTAAGTAAAAAAAAAAGTCCAATACCACAAAACTGGGTAAATTGTAAGTCTATTTACAATGAAAGAAAAGTCAAAAGAAAACAAAAATATTCGTTCCTGAAAAAAAAAGGAACATTTTTACACACAGTGTTTAGTTGTAGGTGCAAGATTAATGATGTCCTTCTAGTTTGGCCTACGGAGAGGCAATGTGGCCCTAAGTCCTATAATTGAATGTTTGACAGACACTAGTGTTAAAGATTGGATTGTTGTCATGGCGATGGGAATTAAAATTGATGTGAACAATCTAGAAAAGTGTGAGATAAAAATGTATTTAATACGTAAATAACAACTTAACACAGGCAGGAATGAAATGTAATGGGGTATGGAAATTTTATGGTATGATATTAAGTTTTCGCATTTTACATTTATATTTGTTTTGGTAATTGTGGGAAATAGGGGAGGCACATTTTGAGATGGGATAATTTAAAATTTATATTTATAAAAATACAAATCTAGGACCATTTTAAAACTTTTAAAATTGAGAAATATCAATTTGAATAGTAATAGGTCAAGTAAAATAAAGAGCGTAATAAATGTAATTATTAATACTATGGCCATAAATAAGGTATTAAAAAAAAACACACACACAAATAAGTTTAGAAAATATGATTCAAGTAATTAAAATATAATATGATTTTTTCATGTAAAATTGAAAGTTGCATATTTGGATAATGCCATTTTAGGTGAATTTAAGAAAGGCATGTAAGATTAGTAAATTAGCAAAAATGCGTGATTGAATATTTTTAATAATAAAATTGAAAATGATGAATTATCATTTATAATTTTATTAAAATAAAGTAAAAATGATAAATGAGAGTGTGAAAGTTTTTAAAAATTGAATAAAAATGTTATAAAAAGGGTTATAATTGATTTTAAAATGCTTAAAGTGAAAATATAAGAATAAAATTATGGGGAAAATGGCAGAAACAAAGTTTAAAGTACCTTGAAATGGCTGATGCTGGCTGGAGTTGATCTCTGGAGATGGCTGTATGGAAGAAGGCTGCTTGTTGCGTGGGATCCTTCGAAAGAGGAGATGAGGGCTTCCTCCGCACGAGGTACGGCTAGTCCCCGAATGGCGTCTGCTAGTCGGCCTACTAGGTCTTCGTAGTTGGGCTGCATGTTGGTGAGGGCATCCGCGACGTGTTCGTCTTCGACCTCCGTCATCCTCTTCTTGCTGCTGTCCTCAGTTATCCTGTCGACTTTAACGGGTTCTGTAGTAAACCCGTTGTGGAATGTGCTGGGCAGTCGTGGTCCTGGGTGTGTGATGGGATTCCCGCACTGGGACAGCAAGAGACAGAGGCAGGTCTAGATGGTAACTCCAAGAAAGAGGTAGACCACGGACGAAGACAGCGGACCCGGACGCCACGGATGCCCTACATCGCGGATAGGGGTGAGGGATCCGACCGACTGTAACGGGGTCGCTCTGAAACAACTAACTCCTTCTGCCGACCGCCTGCTATATATAGCCACATCCAATCGTCTGCTCTGACCTTGAATCTGGTTGGCTGCGGTAAGTCTCGGCATGTTCCGACACGCCTCTGCAAGTCTCGACATGTTCTGACACGCCTCTACATGTTTCGTTTGGTCTACCTCCCTCTTTGCTTTATTGTGATATCCATTTTTACAAGGTCGATACATAATTTTATATAGAGATGGGGTTACAACAAATATTAGAAGGTTGTGAACTGTCTCACTCAAAAATATACTACATATATATATATATATATATATATATGTAGTATATTTTTGAGTGAGACAGTTCACAACCTTCTAATATTTGTTGTAACCCCATCTCTATATAAAATTATGTATCGACCTTGTAAAAATGGATATCACAATAAAGCAAAGAGGGAGGTAGACCAAACGAAACATGTAGAGGCGTGTCAGAACATGTCGAGACTTGCAGAGGCGTGTCGGAACATGCCGAGACTTACCGCAGCCAACCAGATTCAAGGTCAGAGCAGACGATTGGATGTGGCTATATATATTTATTTAAAATAAAGAAGGCACCTCCTGACCACGAGCACATGTGCTTTTTAGATGGCAGAGCGCCATCTAGTGGAGCAAAAAAAACTAAACGTTTATTTAGCTTGCTCCGTGATATTTGGCCAACCCAATTTCTTGATAAATCAAGAAAAGCCATCCACGAACGCGTTTCGCGCTGTTGGCGCTCGTCAGCGTGGAGTAGGCTGTAACCACTGCGACCAAAAAGATTTTTGGTCCCAGAAGCTTCTCGAGAAATCAAGAAATGGGTATTTAAGGCCAAATTTGCGTAAAGACGCTTAACACATGAAATATATATATACTGTGTAGATAGATGGAAATTTTTTCCGGGAGGAAATTGATCTAAAGAGACAAGGATCGCCTCTCCCGTCAAAGTAGACGTATAAAACCAGACGCCATATATATATATATATTTATTTATTCATTTGGAAATAGATGGCGTCTAGTTTTGACGTCTATTTTGACGGGAGAGGCGACCTTTGTCTCTTTATATATATATATATATATATATATATATATATATATAAATGTTTGTATGTTTGTTGTCTGTTTGTCTGTCTGTATGACCCGTATACAAATTCGCAGTAGTTCACTAATTCAAACCAAAACTTCCATACATAGGTAAAAAATAACGGGGATGACGATAGGCTATTTTAAAATATATATAAATCATTATTAAAACTATATATTCAAATTATTCAACTTAGCTCACGAGCAGCGCGCCTCTAGAACACTCAGGCGTCGACGGTGGGCGCGCGAACGATTGGCTGCCGGCGTGCACGTGACCTCCTTGTGCGGCGGAAAAGGCGGGCGTCGCGTGGGCCCTCGCGACAGCCATGCGCGCACAGGGAAGTCACGTGAACGCCGGGAGCCAACGGGCCCCACCCCCGCCGTGCTATAACTGATCTAATTCAGCGTTTAAAATAACTGCTCTTGCTATATTTTGCTATGTTTTATGTAACTTATAATACATTATAAAGGACTGCGGTGTGTGATTATAAACAATACTTAAAATTATACCGCATAAGTTTCTTTTCTACGAAAAAATCAACATTTATTTTAAAGAGAAATATTTACTATTTCTAACTTTTTTGAATGAAGTATGAGAGGGTGAAAATATGAAGAGTAATGGCGAACGGGAAAAATAAAAGTGTCCAGGGGCGGGAACCCACAACCTTCTGCTTACCGGGCAGGTGCCATGTCCACTAGGCTTACCCTGGACGTTATTTCTCCGTTCGTAAATAATACTTAAAGTAACTTATAATACATTATAAAGGACTGCGGTGTGTGATTATAAACAATACTTAAAATTATACCGCATAAGTTTCTTTTCTACGAAAAATCAACATTTATTTTAAAGAGAAATATTTACTATTTCTAACTTTGTTGAATGAAGTATGAGAGGGTGAAAATATGAAGAGTAATGGCGAACGGGAAAAATAAAAGTGTCCAGGGTTCCCGCCCCTGGACGGGGCGTTGCCCGGGTCATTCGTCTTATTTATATATATATATATTATTTATATATATATATTATTTATTAAATTATAAAACTATTTTAGAGGCGTAATATTCTTTTAAAATAAAACAATTTCTACTGTCCTTACTGCGATGGAAAAATTAAAGGGAGGGCCTGGCTCATCAGTGGTGAACCCTCCCAGCGGTTCACCACTGATGAGCCAGGCCCTCCCTTTAATTTTTCCATCGCAGTAAGGACAGTAGAAATTGTTTTATTTTAAAAGAATATTACGCCTCTAAAATAGTTTTATAATTTGATAACAGATAGCGCTCTAGTACATCATATATTATTTATATATTGAAATATTGAATGTTTGTATGTTTGTTTGTCTGTCTGTTTGTATGTCCGGTATACAAATTCGCCGTAGTTCACTAATTCAAACCAAAATTTCCATACATAGGTAAAAAAATACGGGGAAAACGATAGGCTATTTTAAAAATATATAAATCAATTATTAAAACTATATATTTTTAGTCAGAAAATGATTATGACGATATTGCTGTATCATGTTTGATTATCAGATACAAAATTATATCGGGAAAAATTCCAAAAAGCAGAGACCACGGGTGAAACCAGTTCATTATTTTGTACGCAGGAACAAAATTCTAACAGAAAAACATTCATTCGAGCAGAAAACAAAAGCCAGATCATCTTTCTTTAAAAATATCGCTTCTCAGACAAAGTTTGGAGCGGGACGTTTCACAAGAGTGACATCCACGGCGCCAATTTATAATTGTAACGAATAGTATTTGAATAAAAACATTTAATCGGGTAAAACCCGGGCGTTGCCCGGGTCATTCGGCTAGTATATATATATATATAGACGAATGACCCGGGCAACGCCCGGTTTACCCGATTAAATGTTTTATTCAAACACTATTCGTTACAATTTTAAATTGGGCGCCGTGGATGTCACTTTTGGTGAAACGTCCCGCTCCAAACTTTACAGTCAGATTAGTTACGATATAAATCTTCAAATCGAGCGAGCGTCTATAAATATTTCGATTTAGATCAAGTATTCTAATTATTAAGCGAACACTATTACTAATAAAATTTTGAGAAGATTTCGATTTTAAACGTATTTATAACCTTGATAGAGGGCGCTGTTCGTGAGCTAAGTAGAATAATTTGAATATATAGTTTTAATATTTAATTTATATATAATTTAAAATAGCCTATCGTTTTTCCCCCGTAATATTTTTTACCTATGTATGGAAATTTTGGTACTGTAAAAAAAACTTTGCTTCAATAATATATAAAAAAAAAAAAACACCCAGGCTAAGTTTCGAACCAAGGTTGTGGAAATACGAAGCCGCACACCTAACCATTAAGCTACGCTTGGCATCATAAACATTCGCATGTAAAGCTTTCTAATTTCTAACGACCTTTTTGAAATGGGTTTATGAAACATGGAAATTATAATACTTCAAATAAATAGAAATAGAGTGAACACAAATAAAACATACCAAATATTTCGAATTAGAGCAGTTATTTTAAACGGCGAATTAGATAAGCTATATCTAAAAATGAAAATATATAAATAAATAAAACCTACCAAATATTTCAAATTAGAGCAGTTATTATATAAATATTTATATTATATTATGAACGGAAAAATATGTCCAGGGTAGCCTAGTGGTCATGTCATCTGCCCGGTAAGCGGAAGGTCGTGGGTTCGATTCCCATCCCTTGACACTTTTTTTTATTTTATCCATTCTGACCAAAATCTATCCGTGAACTTCGCACAGTGAACTTCACACAGACAGAATAAGGCAATTATATATATACTAGACGAATGGCCCGGGCAACGCCCGGGTTTTACCCGAGTGCGTATATATTTTAAAAACGTTTTAATTCAAATACTATTCGTTACAATTATAAATTGGCGCCATGGATGTCACTCTTGTGAAACGTCCCGTTCCAAACTGTGTGTTTTTAAAATGTTTTAATTAAAATACTATTCGTTACAATTATAAATTGGCGCCGTGAAACGTCCCGCCCCAAACTGTGTGTGTTTTGAAAATATAAAAATAAAAATGTGAACGGAAAAATATGTCCAGGGTAGCCTAGTGGTCATGGCATCTGCCCGGTAAGCGGAAGGTCGTAGGTTCGATTCCCATCCCTTGACACTTTTTTTTATTTTATCCATTCTGACCAAAATCTATCCGTGAACTTCACACAGACAGAATAAGGCAATTATATGAGTAGATATATAAGTATTGGAATCCCATTCAATAAAGTAAGCAAAAATACGAGAATCACGGGACGAGTGTCTTTTGTACGAAGATTTATTTTAAATCGCTCAAGCTTTCGGGCTGACCGGCCCTTCTACAGGAGACAAGTGAACATATGGCACATCGGGTACTATATAGTGATGGGACTATTTACATATTTAAAAAAAAATTTGATTTTTTTTTTTAAACTTTTTATAGGGATTTTGTATATCTAAGCAACGTTGGGAGGAATAATTAGCATAATGGTAAATTATGGACAGAAGAAATTGACATGTATGATAATAGATATTGAATATAGTAGAGCCTGTAATATCTTCTACTGTCTATGAGAGAGGAGGGGGGGGGGGGAATCCGCACAGATGGAGGATACAAGGCTATGGGAACAGGGATTGGTAGGATTCAGGGAGGTCGATATGTCTATTGATGGTATGGAAGCCCTGGGAAACGAGAGCTTCCAAGGTGAGGCGCTGCTGCTTGTTGTATATGCGGCTATAGTGCACAGATGGATTGGCCAGGTCGAAAGAGTGGTTGGCGGTTCGGATATGTTGGTATATAGCTGATTTCTCATCTTGTCTGGAGATGTTTTTTCTGTGTTCCTCGAGTCCCGTGATTCTCGTATTTTTGCTTACTTTATTGAATGGGATTCCAATACTTATAGTTCTATACCAAGTTATGAACCCGCCTTCCATTAACATCGACCACTACTTGATTGTCTTCCGCCGCAAGTCCCTGAAGCTTGCCACATGGAGATGCCATCTCGACTTCAACAAACGTTGCGTGGCCCTGGATTTCATTCCCCCGTCCTTGAGAGTAAAAGACCCAGTTGGCAACTCACATTCACAGAGAGCTATATCCGATCTACAGAAACGCCTCCTCCACGCTAGAATACAGGGATGCCACTCCAACATACGCTTTCTGTCCAAAACCCTCAAACAGCTCGCATGCATCATCTCCCAGACAATCCCCCTAACCAGTTGACCCACATCATATCCAATATAACCGCAGAAGTAAAGCGTCTACAGAAGAATATAAGAATCCGACACGATAAAAAAACTCCGCTACTGGTCAGTTAAATTTCGTCTACAACTCCATGACACCCACCATTCCTCCAATCTCGTTAACCTCTCCTCAACGGTTCTCACTCCCCAGGAAACTACCCTTCTAAGCAAAGGCCTCAAGTTTAGACCTGTCTCTAGGCCAGATCCCCTAAAAATCATCAGTGCTGTTGAAGCTGGCATCCGCAACCTTAATAATTCAGACAAATATAAAATACGCCACACAGTCTCCAACATACTGAGCCTCCCGTTCGCCCAACCCCGTGCCTCCCCACTTGAATTCGATATCATCCGAAAATTACGGCAGAAAAACCATTTAGCCATTATGCAATCATATAAAGGTTCCCAAACAGTCATCATGAATACTAAAGATTATAAAGAAAAATTACAGGTTGTTCTCGCCGACATCTCCACTTTCAAACCCATCTCTGCCCAAAACAGATCCACCATATACTCCTCCGTCCGAAAAGAACTCAACCGTCTGAAAAGAAACCAGATCATTTCACCAGAAGAACACAAGTCCTTTCTCCCTGATACCGCTACCGAATCCTATATATATGGCCTGCCCAAGCTCCACAAGCCCGGAATTCCGTTAAGACCAATCGTGGCCCACTTCCTATCCCCCATGGCTCCAGTCTCCAAGTTCATTTCGTCGTTCCTCTCGTCCCTTCTGAAAGGTACTCCTTCCCTTACTTCCATCACCTCCACCAGTACTTTCATTAATGATGTGCATGGTACCCCTCCTTGTCCGAACCTCGTCATGGTTTCATTTGATGTAGTATCCTTATACCCCAGCCTTCCCCATGATTTAATTATAGACTCCCTCAGGTCCTTTCTAGTTGATTCCCATGTCGATTGCCATACCTCCTCCAAAATTATAGAACTCACCCATCTCTGTTTACAATCCTCAGTCTGCTCCTTCAACTCCCAGTTTTTTCTACAGATAAAAGGGTCCCCAATGGGGAACCCTCTTTCCTCAGCTGCTGCTGAGATTGTTATGCGGTCTATAGATATGCAGATCACCTCAGATTTTCCATCCGATATCCGCCTTTGGCGTAGATACATAGATGATGTGTTCTGCATATGCACAAAAAGCCAGGTTGAAAATATCCTCTCAAAACTCATTAGTTACCATCCTGACCTTTCCTTCACCCATGAAACCGAAACCTACAACGCCCTCCCATTCTTAGACTTCCTAATCATCCGGACCCCAACCAGATACCCCCCCCCCCCCCCCCCCCCCCCCCACTCCACAGTACATTACAAGAACTCGTTCAGACCCAATTATATTCACTTCAACTCCTTCTGCCCCCTAAGTCACAAAATCAACACCGTCAGAACCCTATCTAAACGAGTTCACACCCACTGTTGTTCCACCTCTGATTTCAAAACCATGGAAACCAATAGAGTCATAGC